TTTGTTATAATAGCATTATATTTATCACTCTTGGCAGGTATTTTAATTTGTTGTCGCTGGCCAGACAAAATCCAGACTTGTTCTGATCCGGGACACTGTGGAACACATTCATTGTTATAATAAAAGCATACTTGCATATCACCAACCGTCATTCTTTCTGGATATTCAATATGAAATTTTTTTATATTTTAGATAACCACCTGGTGGTTAGATCTTCACCATGATGATGGACAATGAGACGGGAATCCGCTGGGACCAGAGCCAGGAGGCGGATTTTGATGAAGGAGGAGCAAAGCTTTTTGAACGTTCAAGAATTAAAGCTTTAGCAGGTATATTTATTGTGTTTGTGTCTATATCAAGCCAAGGCCACTAAATGATGTTGTTCTAGTCCAGAGAAACAGTTTGACCAGTTTTACCGTCAAGGGTACTATTCTTAAAATTAAAAATAAATTAATATTGAAAAAAAAAATTGATTTGTTACTGAATCATACTTTATTGCAGATGCTAATGAATAAAATTAAAATCCATTATTTTTATTCTCAGTGAATAATAATTCCTACTAGAAAAAAGTATATTAATAAATTCATTTCAAGCAACATTTTCCTGTGCATAGTCTTAATAGATGATTTCTAATAAAACACCGTACATTATAATTGATTTGTCATGCATGCAATGCTGAATAAACATCTTGTTGTGGCAGATGTCCTCCAGGTATTCCGCAAAAAAATATAATATAAATACATGGTGTTCTGTCATAGTGCATTAGTCTGTGTCCCACATCCAAATAAAAAAACATTTCAAATTCATTATTCATGATTGAAGCTTTTCCTGTTTATATCCATGATTATATATCAAATGGACTCGTTATTGGGAGCACAAAGGTGAGTAAGTATAGCATGGACCATGGATCTTATGAAGGAAAATTTCCACTGATGGAAATATACAGGTACTAGTATGTGTCCCACCCACAGTAATAAAGAAGTTCTATATGTCATTTAAGCACATGTTGGATAGCATGGTCTATGCAAATCTCCTCTCCCCTGGGTAGTTTTGCATTAATTTGAATGCAATTTTGTATTTCTCACCAGGGTATTATATCATTTAATTTAGTTGCTATGCTCTTACTATAGAATATTCATCGCACCTGGTTCACTTCATTGAATTCTGTTGCTGATAATTTAAAGTCAAAGAAATTGTTACAACATAATTCAGTAGTATGAATGCATAAATAAAGCATTACTAGCTTTAAATTTCAGTTTATGTGATGTAATTTTGTATGTGCATCTTGAAAAAGATTGCATAAATCCTCTTATTTGTGTGCAATAATTGTAACTGAAAATGTAGTCATGTTTGGGATTACATGACAGGGTCTGCTTAATCATCATAATGGCATGGTAACATGGTATGTACTATATCCCCAGCACACAGTCCTATGGGCCATGACCCCCCCCCCCAAAAGGTTCAACTGAAGTTGTATCTTTTAGTGAATGAATCGTGGCTTGTGGTTTTGGCGTGGGTTGTTTCTTTTTGGCATCTAGGTTTTAAGCCTCGGCTGATTATCATTCAGTAGTAGTTGCCACTCAACCATCAATCGCAGTCTTGCAATCGCATTTCCAATTGCAAATGCCTAGATATTTGATGATATAGTCACCTCCTATTATTTGTTACTATAAATTGAGTTTGTACCAATTTTGGATGTCATTATTCTACGATAGAGTCGTGTCTTCCTATTGCTCTTAATTGAGTTTGTACCAATCCTGGATGCTTGTGTTCTATGATACAGTCACGTTCTCTTATTACTTGTTACTAATCATCAAATTCATACCAATTAAAGAAAATATTAATATAAAATCTCGGCCAATAATTACTTTCTACAAATTCTAAGTTCAGTGAGCTCCCTCTTAAATTAAATAACTCAAACACTCCTGTTTTGCTGCTTAGTTGCCAGATCAAATAAGTATACACATGCCTTAGGAAAACATTAATTTATTTTTAATGAAGTAGTTGAACACTAGTTGCAGACTCTGAAACTTGAGAGACTAAATATTTTTATTTTCTTATTAGTTTCGTGTATTAGTGTTGTCTGCTAATGCAATCTTTTTTACGCCACATACTTGATTGCAACCAGTTTCATGTTCGGCATCTTTTTCATAATAATATTTTATGATTAATTTTATAGGTAAAGTAGCATGCTCCATCAAACCCAGCATGTTAGTATTGTAAAGAAATTATCCCTGGTAAATCAGGGGAAGTTAGAATGTCATTATGAAATACAATCATTGGTTAAATACATATCAATGATAATTATGTACACAATTTCTTTCAAAGTAATTTAGCTTATTACAGATCTACTTGACTGCTCATGGTTTCAGGGAAACACATTAGCCCAAATGTGACAATAAAGGACTTCTAGTATTTACAACTTTTCATAACAGATTATTCTTATCAGATCACAATTGACAGGTCTGTTCATATCAACAATGACTTTGTACATGTACACCCAAATAGGGAGAATGGGGAAGATATTCAGGGTGTGCCAAGACACTTTATTTCTGACCCTGATTATTAAACAAATTGTTGCCAAGATTCTTTAAATATGATTGTGGTGCGAAGCGAGCATTTTTTTCCAAAAATTTTACTGGATGACCAGAAATGCTCAACAAAACACAATCTGTTGCATGTTAATTCAGAATATCCAGTTTTATGCTAAAAGCATTCCTAGTCTAGTAATTACCCCTGGTTATATTGTTGTCGTCATACACTACTGATGAAGCTTATATATCACATATTAGTAATTTTAATTAGCTATCCCAGAATCCTTGCTGAGTACCTATTGTTGCCATGGAGCTACCTTGGCTGCCTCATTTCAGTCTCTAAGGAAACTAAATGAGAAAAGTCGTATGGGTTTTATATGTACCGGTATACACATATGGTAATGTGTAGTAGACTTTTTCGAAAATTCAAGTTGTCAAATTTAATCCATTTAGGTTTTTTGTATTAATATTGGTATTCATAATCTGATACGGGTTGTAATAAGTGCGTCCATGTCATGTCATAACTTCAAAATGCATGATCTGATTTGAACAAAATTTCTTGGACAAAATTAGTGCAGTTCAGCAAGTTTCTTCACAATTAATGTACATTTAGGAGTATTTTTAGGTAAAAAAAAGGTTATTTTTTGTAGACTGAAAATGATGTTTTGCTTGTTCTTGGCATTGCATTGGCCAATTTCATTCAAACTTCACATAAAAGGTAATAAATATATATTGATAGACACAATGTTGCAATTGAAGTGTTATAATTGTGTCATTTTTGGTCAAAAGAATAGGGTGAAAATATTTTTCTCAATGTTTAAGCTTTGCATAGACCAATGTGGAATACCTTGGAATATATACTCAGTATTATGAGACACTGCTACAAGGTACATAGCCACTAGGCTCAAGCACATCTCAGTGGTATTTTGGGGTAAGAATTTTTTTTTTCAATGTTTAAGCTTTGCATTGACCAATTTTATTCAAACTTTGAATATATACTCAGCTACGATGGACATTTTGTGGTTCAAGCACATTTCAGGGGTATTGTGCAGGCCAAACTGGAAACTGACTTTTTCCAGTTTGTCTTGAATAGGATCTACGACATCTTGTGTGTTGTTGCTTTTCAGATTGTTGTTTGCCATGATTCACCAATATAGAGTTAATTATCATAATAAATTCAGTGTTCATGTGCATGAGATGTGATATACAGCAATGACAAGGAGAGATGAAAATTCAGAAATGGATTAAGCACAAATGTTTATACTAGCACCAACTTGTATTTTTGCTTCACTTCAAAATAAGAGCGAATGTTCTGGTTACTGACTAGATCTTCCTCTAGTTGGGGCCAGTAGAAAGGACTTTCATCGCAACTCTACCAGTTGCATTGGCAAAGTATTTTTTGTTTTGACTCATTGTACATGATTACCGGTAATATGATAGAGCATTTGGATTTGATTATCTGCCAGATGAATATAACAAATAAGAAATTTTGGTGTCATAAGTTGTTGAAGATTTATAACAGTTATTGATATCTATTGGTTTCAGCTTGAGAGGCCTTTTGCAGGGAAATATCAGTTTTTCCTTTCTGCCGAACCGAAGTTGTGAACTTGTTTTTTTAAATAATTTTGAATAATGGTTTTTAACAGAAAACTACTTTATGAACATTGAGAATTGCTTATGCAATTAACTCAACTCTGGAGACTACTTCAGCTAGCTAATTAATTTCTCTAGAAAAATATTTAATGTGGTTCTAAACTTGCCTTATAATTAATTACTTTAATTGAGGAATACCAATTGTATGGAATTGTTCTGTCAGAAGTGCATTTCCAATTGAGGTGCAAGTGAGCCAAAATCATTGTTTTGGTGGGAATTTAAGTTTACCAAACTAGAATCTGACCATCAAGTAACCTTGTACTATATTTTTGGAGCAAGAAGAAGGTTGAAATTAACAAGATTTGTTTGTAAATATTTTGTCAGCTTTGGTTAAAAGGTTGTTTCTAGAAATTGATATTGTTTGTGGTGTATATTCAATAGGCTGTTGTGTCTGCATCAGTGTCATCCAAATACATGTGATCAAATTTGGAATCAACACAGAAAAGATGCTGATTTAATAAATGTGTTAGGGGAAATTACTGCTTCAATAGGTGAAAGCAAATGTGTCCCGATCAATATGAATTATTATGGAATGCTATTGGATTCATAATACTTGGTAATTGGTATGTCTCAATCATTTTTAAGAGTCATTCATCTTTCATTGTACAGCTGTCATTTTTGACAACAGAAGTGAGTACAATTTTGATGAAGTCTATCGTATGTGTATATTGTAATCCAACTTGATGACATGTCAATGGACGGATTGTAAGATGAATGAATTGAACATTTCATTTGTCAGACTTTTGTGGGCTTTCATAAGAGACTAGAAATATAACTTTCCACTTGAAAAGATGAGTGAATTACTTAAAAACATTTCCGCATCTTGAGCATATTCAAATTATATTTACATAAATAAATTTGTTTGCCAGAAAAATTAATGATGTACGAGTGTTTGAAAGCATATCTACTAAAAGAAGAAACTTCTAATTATATGCATAATATCATATTTCTGAAGTACAAGTCAACATGTACATTAGTGCACTTTCAGAGTAAGCCTAGACGGCATAATAAGCTAAATTTAGAATGTGTTATGTAATATGAAGACAACTGTGATTGAAGTCGTTGCGATTAGACAATTACTCATCAGCACGCAAGTGAAAAGTAGGCTTACGTGAAATGAAAGACATTGTAATGACCTGCAT